CACTTATGTAACATTTAACCAATTTTTACCGAAATAAATACATAAATGTTCATTTACAAAGAAATACTAATCAAAGAAGTATTATTTGATAACTGGAAGTTTTGATAACTCGTGGTTTTTATGTGTCACTGCGATGTGTATCGAGTTAAATGGAAATACAAAATAAAAATTACCTATTTTTATCTTGCATTTAAATACTCTTCTCGGAAAAGCATTTTATATTATATTTAAAATACTCTTCCAAACGTATATATTTGTAAAATGTAAAATACATTTTTGCCATTAAAAGTTTTGCTAGTATCACCGATCAAATATAATATAAAATGATGAATGAAAGTTGCTCACATTGGCCATGGAAGGTATTAGAAGCTTAAAAAATGGACAAAGAGACATTCCATGAATGTCTTGTAATTCTTTAATTGAAGAGAGCCCAAAAAACTCTAAACTCCTTGGAAATGAATAATCTAAAATATTAGATCGATATTGTTTTTCGCGTTCAATATCATGGTCCATGGAATTTTGAAGTTATTGTTATTGAAATTGTTATCAGCACTTTCCAAATCACCACTTATCGTGCCTCTAGCTAGGAACTACGAAAAAAAAAAACAGCCCGTTAAACAATATCGAACTGATATACGCCAATTGTGTAAAACTGAAAACTACAAGATATTGTGGTGTGCTAATAAATGCCTATAATCAAAAATTCTTAGAAAGCGATTCGAGAAATTTCACTTATTAGATGAAGCCAAAGCTAAAGAAACTATGGATTCCATTTCTTTCTCTTATTACAATGTGTAAAAGATATCGGAAACAAAATGGAGTTGCAAATATTTTGATATAAAATGATTGATGTTGATTTTACATCAACAAAATTATTTGCAACCCTATTCTGGAAGCCTCAAATCTCAAATTCTAGCTATTGTACGATATATTTCAGCATTAGGTTTTTAACTACCGGAATTTTTATATTGAATTTGCTTATCCTAGTTACCACGATACACGGTCACCTTATTTTACTTTTAAAAATTCCCTAATGTATTAGCACAAATACATTTTGTTGATCATAAACCCCTTATCTAATTTTGCAAACCCCAAAGGAAGTCTTAATTAACAACTAAACTTGAAAAATACTATCAAGGGGTTAGATGTAACGAAAAATTTACATTTCAGTTGTTGTTTCAAATAATTTTTGAATGAAAGAGATGTTTCTATTCAAAATTTGCTTAATGCGTTGGGTAGATACCGTTCATATTAGACCGAGATATTCGTTGGAGCAAAAATCTCAAAGGGCTTAATCATGGTTTATCTGAACATTCACGTCGATGATTAGGGACAGAACAGCGAGCCTTTCTAATCAAACAACGGGGTGCTGACTTCTCGCAACAATGGGCCGACGAAGTCCCGCGTTATTGAAGCTCTATGACGACAACAAAAACACGGGACCAGATGCCATACCGTCGATTTTGAACTTCAGCTTTTCTGTCCATGTGCGTCGACTGTTACGGTGCCGCAGACCCCAATTCACTTGCCGATTCCGTCCATTTCCGTCTGGTGCCGCGATGTACATTCGCGCATTTCGAGCAAGTGCAAGGCAGAACTCGCTTTGTTCAAAGATGAAAGGAAATGTTTTGTTTGAATTTGGCCCCACTGCAATCTAACAAAAGCGAATACTGACGTTACACCGATCCGCGAAACAAATCCTAAATGCACATAACACGCCAATATTCTAATGAGAAGCTTTTTCCAATCTTATTGTAATAATGAAACTAAATGCAGAAGGTACAATCTCGGAAAAGCTGAAATACAAACCTAAGAAAATCGTTTATAGTTTAAAGTCACAGTATGAATTTTGCTATCTTCATCATCATAGGGTCGTCAGTCCTAAGACTGGTTGGACACGTACCTCCACTTTTTCCTATCCTGAGCTAAACTTCGCATTTCCCTAAAACTAGAACAGCCCACATCCTAAACTATTTGCGAACAGTAATCTAATCTAGGTCTACCTCTACTTCTCCTAACTCCTGTTTCTGCCTCTAATATGTCTCTGAGTAGACCTTCATGCCTGAGAAAGTGTCCTACCAACCTATCTCGCCTTTTTTTATTGACTTCCATAGAGTCCTCTGTTCTCCTATTCTTTCTAATACCACTCCATTTCTAACCTTCTCTATCCACGGTATACTCATCATTCGCCTGTAATACCACATTTCGAACGCTTCTAACCTTTTCTTTTCAGCCGCGCCCACTGTCCATGTTTCGCACCCGTACAACGCCGTGCTCCAAACATACACCTTTAACAACCTTCTTCGAATTTCTAATTTAACCGTTCGCGACCGAATTCTGCTATGACTAATGACTTTCTATTTGGAATAAATGACAATCACTATATAAATATATGTATAATAACAACAATGGTAGAAGGTTAGGCATTAGAAATCAGTCACTGGATTTACTATTTATAGACTTAACTTTGGTTGAAAATTTTAGTATTGTATGTGTACTCCTTTTTGATAAGAATTATCTTCCAAAACAAACTGATCCTTATTGCATTATCACCACTACTTCTCTTCTTCTTTTGTGCATTCTGTATATGGAAATACAGCTTTCGATGAAATAAATATTTTGAATACTTTTATTTCATTTATTTTTTGATATGCCTTTCCAAATTTCTAACATTACGTATTTTCGGTTATTTTAGTAGGTAACCCACTTGAAAAACTTGATGAGTATTCTTAAATCCTGCCTTTGTATCCCAAACAGTGGAAATCTTCGCCTTACCTGCCCCAACATTTCATTTTTGCAGGAAGGCAGGAAAGTATTTTTTGCACTGACGTAGCTTTTTCTGATTTCATTTCTCCTCGACTGAGGCTAGCAATTTCGGAAGTGAGATTTTCTAATTTTAGGGGCATGTGAACAGTGGAGGCCGTATCTAATCACTCTTCATATGAACCCTGATTCAAACCCGAATTGAAAACATCTATGATTAAAAAGGCGTTTAAAAATTGAACACATTTACTAATCAAAATATTTAATTATCATTACGACGTTTTTCAGTGAAACCAGACAAGAAATACTTAAAGTAAAAATTGTTTCATTAAAAGTAAAAAGACAACTCTCGCGTAAGTTTTGCAGCATGTGTACTCCAAAACACATCCATTGATGCTTACCATACTGTGTGGAAGTGTGGCTTAACGAATTAGGAAGAATTAAGGGAAATTTCGGGATAACCATCTGGCTTCTTGCCATTTCAATCGTACACGAATAACGAAAGGGTGGATAATAGGAAACTGTCATTCGGTCGGTGGATTTTGAGCTTTATACTTATTTATTCATCCCCCGGATTTGTGACGCTCACTCTATACTGGTCCTAATGTATCACATTAGTTACAATCGGATAGTGCAACATGCAACTGTTTCCTACGAAAAAAATGCGTTATGCATCTAATGATCTAAATTAGCTTTTTCTACCTAATATTATAAATGCCAATGTTTGATTGTTTATTACCATTTCAGGCCTTAACCATTCAACCGATTATCATAAAATTTTATACACACATTGACAGGGGTACATAAAAGGACATAGGGTACCTTTTATCCAGAAAAAAAATACAGTTCTTGAGGAACAGCAAAATTAGTTTCATGTGAACGTAGATGATCATTGACACATATTTAAGACGACCGAAGAATTCTACAGACCAGAGCTGTATTAAGGCTATGTTACACGGCGCGTGGAGCGCGGATCGGCATTCCACGCGCCGGCAAAGAATCCGCTAGGACGCTTCTGTCCGCTCCAGGCCGCGCCGAATCCGTTACATGGCATTTGCCATAAAAATAAAACTTTAAGGTGTTCCATTCCCACCAGCCACTAAAGCTAGAGGGCGGGCAGTCCCTCCGAACTACACCGAAAGGTAGGGTGGAGGACCTTCTTCTGCCTCTTTTCAGGAATCGTGGGAATGAGTGGGTGGTGGTTCGGATAAGAAAGATGACACGGACGAAAGATTATCTGTGGAATATTACTACTGCCGAAGTGATCCAACGAAACGAGAAAAACTTGGACGAAGGCAGACAGACCCAGAATCGAACCGGCGTCCTCCCGAATGTTAAGCAATGGACTAAACCTCTGGGTAATACCGCTCGAGTTTACCATTAAAAAAAAAAAAAACTTTTGGGTGTTTCATTCCCACCAGCCACTAATGCTAGTGGACGGGCAGTCCCTCCGGACTATGCCGGAAGGTAGGGCGGAAAGCCCTCTTCAGCCTGCTTTCCTGAATCGTAGGAATGGGTGGGTGGTAGATCGGGTGAGAAAGATGAAACGGACGAAATGAAGACAGAAGAGAGTGAAAGATTATCTGTGGAATATTACTGCTTCAGCATTTGCCTAAGTGATCCAAGGAAACCACAGAAAAACTTGAGCCAAGACAGACGGACCCGGAATCGAACCGACGTCCTCCCGAATGGTAAGCAATGGACTAAACCTCTAGGTCATGCCACTCGGTTTTATCATAGGCATTCTCTATGTAAATACGAATTCATATAGACTCAGTTTACAGTTACCCTTACTGTTCTAAAAACATTAGCTTCAAAATTTGGCCATCATCAGTCAACGTGAAGTATGTTTCTTTATTACTGATTATGCTTTATTAAAAAGACGATAGAATGTTCTGGCAGACATAGATTATTGCAACATCGATAACAGGTCATTACAGTCATAATAAAAACATTTTTTTCAGCGACAAATAAACAATTTTTTTCATGCAATATATTGACGTAATATGAATGTTATATCATTGTTGCTGCCGGTTAGTAAACAAAGAAATTTCTCGATCTTGATAACTAATATTTACAATATGATATAATCATATAATCTATGTTTAATCCGTTATTAAATAAATGTAATCCTTAAGGAAATAAATTTATAGGACGTACTGGAAACGAAAGCGATAAGAGTCATTCGATCATAATTTATTGTAAAAAAACATTTAGTGTTAGTGGGTTGACAAGTTTTTTAATCAGCTGTAAAGTATATGCATCCGTATAGATCAGAAATAGTCTATAGGGCTTAATCAATTTTTTTTATTTTACATTCGCTAGTGATAAAAAATTTTTATTCTGAAACAGTTAATCTTCCACAATTTCTGCATTGTTATTTAAAACGTCTTCCTCAAATTTTAGTTTCTTTGCTGGTGGTCCTTCTAAGCAATTATTTTTATCCATTTCAAATACTTGCGCCGTTTGCGAACATATTTCATTCCAGGCATAATCAATATCATCTTTCAGAGTCAATCTACTACAAACCACGAACCTTATGACGTATTTTTCTCGAAAATAACACGGTATACAATAGATATTTTTCCTCTCTGTCAGTAACTGCTGTAGCTTTTCGGTCAAAATATTTTTTCCTTTTATTCTAAAACAAACCAGCCCCAACTTCTTGGTGCTAACTTCGAATCTTTTGTCGTTTTCCACAAGTTCTTCGAAATAATTGGCTAATCCGATCTGTGTCCTGATATGTTTCTGAATGCCCTCGACTCCGTAGATACGCATGACGAACCACAATTTCAAAGCTCTAAATCTTCGACCTAAAGAAATCTGCCAATGTCTATAATCAGGCATAACACCTTCGTGTTTGTGTTTCAAATAAATCCTGTCCACGGCAAAGGTGTCCACCAAATGCTTCGAATTTTTCACCCAAAGGGCCGAACAATCCGAATTCACCAAAAGCCATTTGTGAGGATTGAAATTGAACGAGGTGGCGTATTTAACACCTTTCATGTAATGTTGGTATTCTGGACATGCAAAAGCCGATCCGGCATAAGCAGCGTCTATGTGAAGCCAAAGATCCTCTTCGTTACATATAGGTCCAAGTTCTTCTAAATTGTCGAAAGCACATGTACCTGTTGTACCTAAATATAAAACAAATAAACATTACGACAGAACCACGATTAATGTGAAAATTTATTTACTTTTTTCATCCACTCAAGTTAATGAGATATAATGAGGAAGAATTTATTTTATTTAGGTACCTCATTCACTTGAGGTAATTTACAGTGGATGAAAAAAGTTAAAAGTCAAAGTGTTTAATATATAACCACGATTGTTATAAAATAAGATGATATCAGTTGAATCATAAATTCTTATTAAGCTTTAAAAAACATTTTATACTTACAATTAAATAAATTTAAGTAGCCAACAATATTCATATCCTTATCATTATCCATTACTAATAATAAATTAGGAAGTTTACGTTAGATGATATGTGTATAGAAGTAAAGGAAAAGTTTAAAGTAGGTAAGAAATAAGAAATAGGTAAGACAGTTTGGTGGGACACCTTTATGGGCCAGTTAGAAACATATTAGGATCAAAAGCAGGAGTTATGAGGGGTAGAGGTACACCTAAACTAAATTATTATTATTATTAGCAAAAGACATAGGTTGCTCAAGTTTTGGAGAAATGCGAAAACATAGAGAAGTGAAGGTGCATGTCCAAGCAGTTAACAAATAAATACCTAGCGTAGCAACGACGTAGCATGGTATAAGTCCTTTCTTCCTGTCTTCTTCTATCGCTTTCTTTAACGTCTCGCCCCTTAAGATGCAATCGCTATCGGCCGGTAAAAGTCTCATTTTCATGGATCCGAGTATTCCAGCCTTCTCCACGGAGGAGTTAGCTTGATCAGAGGTATACGCAACAAGTTTCCCTTTGATATCGTTCTCAGTCATGTCTGGATGCTTTTGTTTAAAAGTCCGCACCATTTTTTCTTTCGCTGTTAAAAGGGCTATTAAAGTACTCTCGCTTGCAGAACCCTAAACAAAAGTTATATAATTTTATGTACGTTTATTTTTATCGGAATTAACAACACTCAGAATAGAGTATTTACAAGTTTTACATGACGATAAAATTTAAACGACAGAATTTTGAGAACAGAAATATTAAGTACATCAGAATTTCGTGTCGAAATGCGCGAACATACCAAAGTAACTGATATTTTCAAGGTTTAGTGGTATTTTAAGATAATTTTACCTACAAAAACTAATCATACTGTAGTTAAATACAACTCTTTTTTTTTTAATTTTAGATTTTGAACAAAAATGTGCCATTTTCTTATGCTGAAAAAAGTCGCCAATATGTTAACCCTTTCTGATAAAATATAATGTTAAAGATACTGTTATTTGTAGATAGTACTTTACGTATATGAGAGTTTCTGGTAAAAGTTTATTATTCTTTGACTGCATACTGAGAAACAAAATAGTATAAAAATAATTGGTTGTCGTTTGTCTATGCTGACCTGTATGACTCCACCACCATTTCCACCTGCACAGTTAAGAAACTCTTCGGGCAAATGCAATAACTTTCCCAACCAGTTCATCATCATTACTTCGAGTTCTGTACATGCCGGACTGGCCTCCTAAAAAGGTCAAGTTCCTTTAGAAAGTAACAGCATACCATAACAACGCTTATTTCTACTACTACTAATGCATAAATATGTATTAAAATTGTATTTGTATAGGTAAGTGTGTAATATTCACGTAGCCCGCGTCTGATGTCTGCGTTCTCATGTCTCATTTCGAGAGAAATTCCGGTCGCATTTTCTATATTACGCAAAGTAGACAAAAAATATGTGACTGCTAAAATATGATATCTAACAGTTATTGTGTCACCTTGTGAGCTGTACAGGGTGACCCAAATATTAATGCTAGAAAATGAAACGGAATTGAATTTTCAAGGATTAAACGTTTCGAATATTTTACCATATATTAATAATGTACCTATTATATAACGAAATAGATCTTTCTCAGCAATTCGAAAAATATGTCTTCTTACGTATATTCAAGTTTAACTTGTTAACTGTTTATCTATAGTTATTGATCATGATTACACAAAAATTTTGTTTAATTAAATTAATTGAGTTCCTACAGAAATAATCGAGATTTACTATTTTAATGTAAATGAATCAATTGCAACAAAAACTAATCTTTTGTAATTCTAAATCGAGATTCATTTTCCAATGTTGATGACCACCAAACAGTGATCTTTTTGATTTTATGAAACGAAAGGGAAGGAAGAAAACTAAAAGCATCAACTAATAGAAAACGCTTCACAATTTTTTTTCCAATAAATGAAGAAGCTGATTATACGGGTAGTATTTTCAAAACATCATATTTCTGTGTTTGTGGTATTTAGTTTTTTCTTATTATTAGATGATATAGCAGTATTAGCATCTAGCAAAGACGAATTAGAAATAACTCTAAATAAAATGGAAGCGGTACTGACAAAACAGTACTGTATGAAAATAAATAAAAGTAAAACAAAAATACTAATATCTTCCACAATTTCTG